AAAAAAAAAAAAAAATTAAAAAAAATTTTTAACACACAAAAAAGAAAAAAAAGACTTGACTTTGTTAGTAAAACCCTTTTTGCTGTGATTGTTGTATTGGTTGCAACTGTATTTGTCTCCCATTAGCAGAGCAGCGGGTAGCAATTTTCTTTTTACAAAGATAGTACCCAGCTTACACGCAGGACGTGTTCCAAAAGTTCATTTTTAAGTTAATTATTTGGAACTCAGAGTACATTTTCCCATAGAAGCAGCATTGTGCATAGTGAGTAGGTTCCCAGGCCATTCCACAAAGGCCAGTTTAGCCCATAATATAACTGAAAGTGTGGATTTTTGCAATGGAAATTAGTTGGATATAATACTGTTGCAATTAAAACGAAAACAATAGTTGAAAAAAAAAACGTCTGGGTTTTTGTTTCCCTCAAGGGTTAGCCCTTGATGAAAAGCAGGTTTAATCCTAGGAAGACAAAGAGAAATACATGAGGAGTTTTGTGTGAGTTTGGACGGCACAGCTTTGGAAATTTTTTTTTTACATAATGTTTGGGACGGTTTCGTAAATAAGAAAAGCAGTCGTGTTCTTGTAGAAAATTTGGAAAGTTGAAAAATATGTTTGAAAAATTCAATCACCAGTAACCCTACCACCCAGAGAGAACATATTGGTGTGTTTCCTTTCAACCTTTTCCTGACTATGTGTATTTTTTAAATCAAGCCAGCAGTATTAACAGAGTGCATCCCACATGAACTGCTGTGCAGTCTTTAAAATGATATTTATAGGGGCACCCGGGTAGCTCAGTCGGTTAAGCCTCTAACTTCCGCACAGGTCATTATCTTGTGGTCCGCAGGTTCGAGCCCTGTGTCGGGCTCTGTGTTGACAGCCTGGAGCCTGCTTCGGATTCTGTGTCTCCCTCTCTCCCTGCCCTTCCCCCGCTCATTTTCTCTCTCTCTCTCTCTCTCTCAAAAGTAACATCAAAACATTTTTTAATAAAATGATATTTAGGAAGAAGTTTTTAAAACATCAAACAATATTTATGATCTAGTGTTTGAGTAAAAGTCATTCTTGCATCTGATGCCTCGATTGGGGGCCAAGGTGTGTAAGGCTACCAACCAAGATCCCCAACCTTCAGTCCCACCGCCACCCCCACTCCCCACAACAGATATCAGAGTTCCTCCTTTTTGTAGAAATTCGGAAGAGGACGTGCGTTCTCTTCCAAGTGTGGTGAAGCTCATAGCACTGGCTCCTTATTCTGATTCTCCTTCAGATTCCTGAACTTTCTTCTCCCTTTCTCCGGTGTATCACCAACCCTACTCATGCTGCACAACCCTGATGAAGGCCATTTTGTAATTCATGAATAGAAAGAGGGGCACATGTTTCCTGAGGTAATGAGGCATGGACTAAAGAGAAGTGAGAAGGATTTGGGCAGAAGTGTATGTGTACTTGTAAGGCAGGAGATTATGTGGAGGAAACTGTATTGAGCCACAGTGGTCAAAGAAAGGTAGGGAGATGAAACCATGTAGCATGCAGGAGGACCTAGGGAGGGTGGAAACGAAGAAAAGTGCGTGCGTGTGTGTGTGTGTGTGTGTGTGTGTGTGTGTGTAGGCATGTGTTTAGGACCTGGCTTGGCTCACAGAGCAGAAAAAGGCAAGCAAAGGACAGTGAGTGTAGCGGAATTGTGGCCAGCGGAAATAAGAAAGTTTTAGGAGGAGGCAGCAAATTGTAAGGTGCATGGTAAGCAATTTTCTCTGAATAAGGGAACAAAGACTGTTTGTGAGGACAGGTGCTTGAAGCACTAATCGTCCGCAAACTAAAACACCCTGTTTGAACTCCATGTAATGTATCTGCTGTGATCAAGCACCATTTGACTTCAGCCCAGTTGCTGATTTCCTAAAAGCAGTTTACAAACACATTCCTTTTTCACACTATTTTATTTTATTTTGTTTTATTTTATTAGTCAAGATTAGATTTGCAGCTGACTTGTATTTTGGCACGGAAGTCTCAATAGCTGCCCCTCTGCGTTTGCTGTTCATCAGTGAAGGAATTGAAAATCAGAAAGGATGGAGGGGTCAGGGGAAACAAGGTGTGGGTTTAGACGGGGTTGTATTTCATGTGGCGTTTTTTTAATGTACTGAGTGAGAAAGCAAAAGTTTCATTGCACTGTATAGAAACTTGTGCCATTTTAATTCTCGGTCATCACCATGTAAGGGAATCTCACTCTGTGGGATTCTGTGGCTCTCGTGTCGGTGAACTTACAATTCAGAGATTCTGGGTTAAGGGGACCACAAGTCCTTGGCTAGTGATTCTCCGTGTTGGCTATAAATTGGAGTCTCCTGGAGAGCTGAAAAAATCCCGATGCCTGTTCCACCCCCAAAGATTTTCACTTAATTGGTTTGGGGGTGAGAACTGGGCGTGGGGATCTTTTAAACCTCTCCGGGTGACTCCCATGTGCAAGCACTTCTGGGACCTTCTAGTTTAGCCCATTGCTTTAATTACCCGTGTGGATTAAACCAGTCCTCAAAGTGTGGTGCTGGAACTAGCAGCTTCAGCATTTATAGGGAACTTGTTTGAATGCAAATTCTTTGGGCCCCCCTCCAGATTTACGGACTCAGAAACTCCGGGGGTGACCTAGGAATCTGTTTTAACAAGCCTTTTAGGTGATTCTGATGCATGCTGTAGGTTGACAGCCATTGAATTAAACAGTCCCTCCTAACCCATTCTCTTTTTAATGTTTATTTATTTTGGGAGAGAGACAGAGAGCACAAGCAGGGGAGGGGCAGAAAGACAGGGAGAGAGCATGCCAATCGGGCTCTGCGCTGTCAGTACATGGCCTGACTCAGGGCTTGATCCTATAAACCATGAGATCATGACCTGAGCTGAAGTCAAGAGTTAGACGCTCAGCTGACTGAGCCACCAAGGCGTCCCCTAACCCTTTCTAAAGTACACTTGTGGAGGTTTCTAGGCAGGAGGAGAGATGTCTTTACCAGCTGATGAAAACTGGTCCAGGAAAGGACTTTTTAAAAAAAAAAATTTTTAATGTTTATTTATTGCTAAGAGAGAGAGAGAGAGAGAGACAGAGCACCATCGGGCGGTGGGGGGCAGAGAGAGAGGGAGACACAGAATCTGAAGCAGGCTCCAGGCTCTGAGCTTTCAGCACAGAGCCCAACACAGGGCTCGAACTCACAAACCGGGAGATCATGACCTGAGTGGAAGTCGGCGCTTAACCAACTGAGCCATTCAGGTGTCCCCAGGAAAGGACTTTTATAAAAATACTTCTAATTATGTTAGGAGCCATGGTGGGCAAAGAAGAAAGAGATAAGGGGGGAAGTTATTTGCCACGAAGCCCAAGCAAGTTCAGGAGGGAGCATGTCTTCATAATAGTTAGGGGGTTGGTCACATAGGCAGACATAACCCTGGTGGCAATACCTGCAGGAAAATTCCTACTTATCCTTCAAAACCCCGTTCAGATGCCAACCTCCACTGTGAAGCTTCCTCTGAGCTCTAGGGTAAACTGCTTCCTCCTTGTATTTACACAACACTTGCTATCTCCCTCCTTTAGCTCTCGTCTCACTGTATTGTAGCTATTTATGTCTCTCTCCCTTACCAAATTGTGTGATCTTTGAAAGCAGGGCATTCTCATATTCATCTTTGGATATCCAGTGTCTAATATAATACCTGATACATACTTAGCGTTCTAGAATTGTTTGCTTACAGGAAGCATGAGGAACAACCACCTTTTTTTTGTTTGTTTTTTGGCTGTCATGAGCCTTCAAAAGATGGGTTTACCTTTGTGAATTAATCAGGGACCTGGGTCCGGCTCTCTCCCTGAAGGCTAGGCCCTTGATTCTGTCAGCACACCATGAGTCAGTCGGTAGACGCCTCTCAGTGGTGGTGGCCTTACAGAACAAAGATCTCAGAAATATATTAACGACTGATTATTTTACATTAGGATCCATAATCGTCAGGTTCCAGGAGTACTAATGCCAAGTTTTCTCATATTTTCTCTTATTAGACGTAGACTTTCACAGGAAATCTAATTGAAATGTACAGGGATACACCTGCAAAAGTACTGGGGTCCATGGGTCTCACCGGTTACTTCGCATCGAGGCCCTACCATCTCTGTGGTTCTTTGTGCTTCTCTAATTCTGTAATGTACTCTGTTCATCCCTGGGATGCTCACAAATATTCTTTTTCTGTAAGTTTATTTATTTATTTTTAGAGAGACAGCACAAGCGAGGGAGGGGCAGAGAGAGAGGGAAAGAGAGAGAATCACAAGCAGACTCCATGCTGTGAGCACAGAGCCCGACACGGGACTCAAACTCACGAAATTGGGAGACCGTGACCTGAACTGAAACCAAGACTCAGATGCTTAATCGACCGAGCCACTCAGGCGCCCCTCACAAATATTCTTCAAACAAGATAAACACTGAGCAAATTGCAGTCACTTTTACAACAGTGCCTTCTGGAGGTTGTACCCAGGTCAACGTGATTGGGTGTGTGCGTGTTCCCCAAGTCTTTAGAGTCACGGTTTCCCAGGCAACCCCTTGGCTTCATTTCCTAGGTGGTTAATCACACATTCATTATAACTGGATTTTTCCTGACTTAACTCTCCAAGGGACAACCTTTTAACCTTATTTCCAAATTTTTGGGGGTGGAGCCCCTCACTGTCACCTCAGTCACTGCCGAGAGGAGTGATTTCTAACTGGTAGAGAAACTTTGAAATACATGTCAGTGTCATGTTCTAAAATGGAATTTTTAAGAAGAAGCTGGATTCGTACCTTCCGTGCCAACTCACGATCCTCATTTGTCAGTGCTGAATGGATCTTCCTGTTTTTTTCTTTTCTTTTCTTTTCTTTTTTAAATCTCTGTAGGCATTATACCTGATAGCCACTAATGGGACTCCAGAGCTCCAGAATCCTGAGAGACTGTCGGCTGTGTTCCGTGACTTTTTAAACCGCTGTCTTGAGATGGATGTGGACAGGAGGGGATCTGCCAAGGAGCTTTTGCAGGTGAAAATAAAACAGGACAATTACAAAGAGAGAGTCATTACATTGAGCTTTTCCATCTCAATGTGTGACAGTAAGGGAAGCCGTGTCAAGAGATGTCTAGTTCGAGTTGAGCCGTAGCCATTTGGTTTTAGACCACAGGCACAGAAACAGAGGCATGCATCTAATACATGATTGATTGGCACATTGCCTTTCTTCTGAGAAGTTGGCACTTTAATCTGTAAATCTCTTTTGTTCTTCCTGGAGTCTTATTTTGCAAGGAACAGAAGAAAACTGTGAACCTCTGGGGTTGCCGTCTTGTTCTAAGCTTGACTGGTGCCCCTGGATGTTGTAGGCAGGTGCCCTCGGCCAGAGGTAATTCTCTGCGTAACTATGCAGTTGTTTCCATGGCGCTCGCTACTCTAATGCCTTACTGGTCATGGCTGGTGATGGCAAATGGCAGGCACCTGCTTGCCTGGGTGAGTACCATCCAGTGATGAGTGCCTCTGTGACCACTTGCCCTTTTCAAGGCTCTCAGGGAATTAGCATAACCGATGGTCATTAGTACCAATTCCCTGCCACATTCTTTGCATACATTATCTCATTCAATTCTTAAAACAACTCCATACGGTAGGTGTTATTATCCCGTGTCACAGATGTAGAAATTGAGGCTGACACGGCCATCGAGTGGCAGAACTGGGATTTGAGGACTGGATTGTCAGACTTTCCACCACACAAACCCACAAACCAGTTTAGAGAAAAAGACGTACTTCTATTGATGGAGGAACACATGCCCACGACTACACATATAACTTCATCGCTGGGGACTGGGCCTCGGGGACACGTGTCAAGCCCCGTAACGTCGAAGAACAGTGACTGCTTATTCTCTCTGTGACTTTGAACACTTAATCCAGTTAAACAAAAGGGTGCGGCCCTTGGTTATATTGTGTGTTAACCACAGACCAAGTCTGTTCTAGGCGGAAGGAAGGAAGGAAGGAAGGAAGGAAGGAAGGAAAGAAAGAAAGAAAAGAAAAGAAATACAAGCATTCCCGTTGCTTCTGAACCCCCTGCAGACACAGAGAGCTACACCCCGGGGAAAATATATCCCACCTCAACCCAAATCACACCTGGGATAAACTGGTTTCTTAAAGAGGCTACACCTTCTCTTTTCTGCTACCTGTGAGCATTTCACAGGCTGCCCTAGGGCCGCACATGTCAAATCTGCAATGGCCCTTCACCGACCCTCTATTTAACCCACGGCGCCTCACACCCTCCACCACCCACATCAGGAACATCCTGATACACGTTCCAAGGACACGTGAAGAGACAGGTTCTCTTAACGCAGCTCTACTGTTACCGGGATCATTGGCTGTTATCTAGTTAGTTCCTTCCCAGACAACGCTTTTATCTGAGCCAGTCACACGAGTAACACAAAACTATTTTGAGTCTAAATTGAACCGTCTGTGTGTTGTATCTTTTCATCTTACACGTTAGCAGTAACCTGTGTATTGCCTTAAGTCCACAGAACATTGTTTTCTGACTCTAGTCTCTCATTGCCCATTTCAGAGGCTAGAAAAGAGAGAGACGCATGGCATTCACCCGCCACTAGAATGCTTGAGAAGAGACACAGGTCTTGAAGTATTTGTGTGCCTTTGTGGCCTAAGTCAGGTCTCTGCCCATCAACTGATATTTTTTGAGCACCTCCCGTTTGCAAGGCTTAACTGCAGTGGGTGATACATACGTCTCAGAGGCATGATTCCTGCTCGCCAGAAGTTCACGATGTCCTTGAGTATTTGCAAAAAACAACACGAGGTGTTTTTACAGACTTATTGAAACCAGGTGGCTATTCAAACAATAAATGCTGTGGTTGATTAGCGAACAACTTCTATAGGTTACGGGGACCAGAAAGTGTCTGACAAACGGGAAGGAGTTCTGCTGAGTCTTGAAGAGCAGAGCAGTTTTAAATAGTCAAGGTGAACAGGGGAAGGGATTTCAGATGGAAGGATTATAGTGTGACCAAAGGCATGGAGACAAGGTTTAATGAAAGGAACAGAAAATGAAGCATATAGTTGAAGTAAAGAAGTCTAGTCAGGAAGCTGTAAGAGAGAGGACCATAGAGTGCCTTGAACACCAGTCTATAGAATTTGGGCTGTAGCCAGTGGGGAAACACTGAACATATCTGAGGGTCACATGGTGACAGCTTTGTATGGAAGATGAATCTGGTAGTGTGCAATAAGAATTAGCAACAGGAAAAAAATGGCGGCAGGAAGATGGAGGAGGAGCTAAGGTTTATAGTTCAGGATTAAGTTGATTAGGCCTGAATTACGAAGGCGAGAGATAATTGTGAAAGGCATTAAAAAAGTACTCGGTAGCTGATTGCATGTAGAACATAAGGCAGAAGAAGACAAAAGTGACTTCAGAATATCGAACCAGTGGCAGCATTCAGTAAAAGCAAAATGATGGAGGATAATACACTGGCTAGCATTTCTTTGCTTCTAATGTAGCTTAAAAGGAACTGTCACTTACTTCATCTAACCATTGTAATAAGCAGAGGAGATCATTGAACCTAGGTGGGCTGATTCCAGAGCCTCTGTGGCTTACATCACGCGAGTGTACCCTGTTTGGGGACCTTAACATGTGTTTTTAAATGTTGAATTCAAGGGGACAGAAGGACATTGGGAAGGAAATACCCAGTGGGCAATTGGAGAAGTAGGACCAGTCTGCAAGAAAGAGGTCAGGTCACTCCATATTGCTTTGGGAGTCATCCCCATAAAGCTGATAAGCAAGGTCAAAACCATGAAAGAAAGTGAGCTCTCAAAGGAATCGAGTTAGAAAAAGAACATGATGAAAGCTGAGTTCTGGTATGTGGGAGGTGAGAGAAGGGAGGGAAGGCAGGGAAGAAGACAGAGGAGGAAGAGTCAGTGAGCACACACATGGAAGAGAACCAAGATGGTAGAACATCACAGGCTGCCAACGAGGAAAACATTTCGAAGAAGGAAGGGATATTCATTTGTATTAAGTACTGCAGAGGGGCCAAGAGAGGAATGATAGAGGCACGGCGATGGGGTTTAGCAGATAAGAAGCCACTAGTTTCAGGGTCAAGGTCCACCAAGGTCACTTCTTCCAACCTGAGAGCTGCTCCAGATAAATGCATCAGTTGGAGAAAATCAGAAAACGAGACTGTTGCAAGCCCAGTGAGATTTTTTTTTTTTTTTTATGAGACCCCCTCCTCTGAGTTTCTGGCTCGGCCCGTCAGTTGCCGGAGCGTTTCATGACACTGAATGACCAGAACATCTGAGGAACAAAAACTGGTGCTAGCTGTAATGAAATAAAGATACTTCATTAGCTTTCATGGTGTTTCATTGGACACTCAAAGTGCGTTTGAACGAAGAAAGGGCCGCTTGAGAATGTAAAGTAATATACTTGTGGGAGGGAAATAGACCAGTAATTCCTCTTGTTTGTTTGTTTGTTTCCCTTTTGCAGCATCCATTTTTAAAATTAGCCAAGCCTCTCTCCAGCCTGACTCCTCTGATTATCGCTGCGAAGGAAGCAATTAAGAACAGCAGCCGCTAGGACTACAAGCCTTACCCCACACCATCTCCCTCCTGAGTAAGACTGAACTGTGAAACTCTGCGGCAGGAAAGAGGGAAGCAAAGACAGTCAAATGGGGTGGGGGTGGGGGTTCTTTAACTTTCCAATGACTAGAAACTTCTTATAAGCCTTTTTCCTACTCCCTCAGATTATGTAATTTATTTGTAAGCCTGAATCGCAGCCCGAACCGGGCAGCAATGTCGAAGCGGCCGTGAAGTGGCCACTTCTTCCGTGAAGCGAAAGAGCCAGTAGTGAATCCCCTCGTTTTGTGCATTCGCTTTGAAGAAAACAAGGTTTCTCAAAGATGCACACTCCCTCTTCATAGTGTCGTGTTCGTTTTTAAGTTAGAGAGTAGTCCCTCTTGCATTCGAACCTCCTTCAAAACTCCTTACCCAAATGTGACGTTCTTCACTTGCACTGTCATGAGGTGTCCAGAGGAAAAAAAAAAAAAAAAGATGTCAAAACGTTTTTTTTAAAGCAAGCAAAAAATGAAAAGCAAAAACAAAACAAAACACAAAAAAAAACACAAAAAACAAAAACAAAACAAACAAAAAAAATTACCCCAGAGCAAATACTGTGTGACCACGTGGAAGTCCATGCCCTAATAGAGTTGCGATTTTTCATTCTTCTTCGATAGTGGCGGCTTGGTTTGCGTGCCTGTTTTTCTGCATTTGTACTGGGAAAGGTTTCTTTGAAGGCATGTTTCCAAAAGCAGAGAGGAGTATGTGCGTTCAGGAAGGGCTTTTAAAAACTGCATCTCTAAATATAAAGCGCAAACGGTGAAATCCTGTCACATTTTCACGATGATGCTTAAGAGAGGTAGTTGATGTATCGTTTGTAGAAACCAGCTTGCTCATCTTCATGATAACCTGAGAAAGGACACCCCAAGCCTTGTGAACTCTCCTGTTGGGTGACTCCAGGTCCTCAACCTAGGAAATCCTGGCAGGAGAAGTCATACTTAGACAAAGATGGGACTTTCTCCGAGAGCCAAAAGGAAAGCAAAATGCGTGTACAATACTTAGATCTTTGTTGGACAGAAGGAAACAAAACTAAAGGTACCTAATTTAATCCCCCCTCGTGCTTGTGGAACACAGACCATCGGAAAATAGGTGCATTGGGAGGAAACAGACCCATTAGCCAACATTTGTTCAACATTTATGATCAAAATCACGTGAAAATTTATAACGTTTTTAAAATTCCTCAAAGGATCTGGAGAACAGAGATATTTTAGGTATTCGGCCCTGTCAGAAGTGGGAGGTCTGCAAAAACTACACCCCAATCAATATTTGGCTCTAAGTACTTGTTCCCATTTGCCCTCTGTCTCGCCAGTTTCTGTTTCAGGATATAGTATGTTCATACTTTGTCCTTTGCGCTTTTGAATCTCAAAAACATGTTCATAAAGATCTGGAAATTCTCCAGTAAAAGTAATTAGGGTTTGCAATCATCTATCCCGAGAAGTATCAGTTCCAACTGGTTTCCTTTTGTGGCTTAAGGAAAGCACGAAAATTTGACTATTATTTCACCATGTATCTACTTACTAAAAAGTCACCAGTTGGCACTTCCTGAATCTTCTGAGAGCAGAAAAATATCTGGACGGTGTCTGCGTAGAAACAAAATATATACTTCTCTTTCAAATGTACTGTCAGTTTTATAAATTTTGCAAAGTTGTTTCTCCAAACCTTTGAAAAGCTAACAATTTGTGCTACGGAAGGCTTCTTGATGTGTAATATATCAAGACTCTGAAGAGAACCTGTCTACTTCAGCAAGAGGGAGAAAGGGAATGACATGGGCCTCTCTTCTTCTTTGCCAAGGTACATCTATCCATCCGTCCATTCCTTAAAACGAAAGCACTTTCTTTAGAGAATTTCTGCTAACCATATAGGGTGCGTGTTTATGTTTAGGAAATGGCACCACTGGTGGATTTCCTACTTTTTTTTTTTTTTTTTTTTTTTTTTTTTTTTTTTTTTTTTTTTTTTTTTTACTATAACATTTGGGAGGGGCTCGACCCCCTGGAAAATAGCCACAGTGAGATAAAACAACAAATGTGAAAAGAAAATCAAATAGCAACATTCATTTGAAGCATGCTGTGTTATGCTTTGCAAAAAGGTGGGTGGGCCTGAAATTTTTAATGCCACACTGTTCTTAAATTTTTTTTTTCAACGTTTATTTATTTTTGGGACA